CCTAAACCCGAAACCCCTACACCCCCTAACCCCTAACCCCTTCTTGTCCAGGCTGCCTTTGGGTTGCCGGCTGCGACAACCTGCGAAGAGGCACCCGAAGGCCGGGGCGGTGTTGTCAGGAGCAGGGTTTGGGGTTTAGGGTTTGGGGTTTAGGGTTTAGGGTTTAGGGTTTAGGGTGTAGGGTGTAGGGTGTAGGGTTTAGGGTTTAGGGTTTAGGGCGGTACGCTTTTGGAAGTACTCCTTAGCCTCAAACATCAGGAACCATGATACTTTCAGGAGTTTCTTCAGCTGACCAAGATTCTGACGCTCAGAGTCCGTAACGCAGGGTCCTCCCTGTTTGGCCGGGTTGTCGTTGATTTCGAAGACCCGCCGCAGCTCCACTGGAAAATTGGGAAACCTTCAGATTTCCCTTATGGTCCTACAGAGGTACCTATCGGTATATAAATACTTTTGGGGGCCCCCAAACTACAACCCTTGAATCAGTATCATTTCAGGCGGCGCAAGTAGAGCTCCTTCGCCTGAAGCTCGTCAGGGCCTACAGTGTGGTGTGACGCAGGACAGGCGATGATGTCAGGGTGATGCCCCATAAACCCTTTATCAGCACCAGGTTAAGATCCCGAAGCCCCAAGCCCTAAGCCCAGCCCCCTTAAACCCCGGGTTTTACGTCAACTTCCACGAAAACTAACTACCCAAGGCGCCTCAGCCTCGAACGCAAACCCCAAACAGAATTTGGGACCCCAAGCCCCGCCCCTGCCCGAAGCTGAAAGAGTAATGCGGCCGCTCTAAACTGTTTAGGACCTCGTGTGAGGGGTTGTTGCAATTTCCGGTTTGGGCGTAGGGAAGCCGATTGAAAGCCATACGACCGCTTCACAACTGTCTCCTAAGCCTCCCTTTAAGATACGCGAAAGAGAAGTGTACTCGAATCCTAACTGGAGCCCGAAAGAGCCTTGTTAGGCCCTATTTACAGACCAGGGCCCTTAGAAAGCCACATAAAGCTTGCAAAACTATAGAAAAGCCGGAAACCCTAAACCTGAAATAACTAGAAACTTAGACCTGGAAGCCATCATAACATCAAAATCTTGAAGCTATCTCAACCCCGAAAACCCGAAACCCGAAGCCTTGCGACGAGCCACGCGTTCCGTCACTTGCCCTCCCATCGCAGGGCGCCTGATGTGGCCAAGTCCACAACTGTGCCGAGGCACGTCCTCTGCAGATGTTTCTGACAGGCGTCGTGAAGATCGTCCTTCGAAAGTCTGGGGGGAGTTTAGGCTTCGTCGTTTCATCGCCTCATGGCAGCCAGTTCGCCTCCAGCTCCGGAAGTCACCTGCCTCGGCTCTGTCGCCCTCTGCCATGGACCCTCGGGCGATGTCCGCCGAAGAGCTCCGGGCCGAGATCGAGGCAACTCGGCGCAGGGCGGAGGCCGAGGAGGCGAGGCTTCGAGAGCTACAGGCCGAGATTGATCAGGCCCGGGAGCGTCAGAGGCTCCGGGACGAGTTGCGTCACATGCAACGCAGGCTGGAACACGCAGAGGATCGCAATGAATCCGCGATCCAGTTCCGAGGCCGCATAGACAATGATGAAGTGACATCTCACCCTCCTCCGTCCATACCGGCCCACAGAAAGCAACCTGTGATGCATGCAAGTGGTGGCGAGAGCGCCAAGTTCGACGACATGGTGGCTAAGGGCGAGTATGTGTGGAGAATCGAGGGCTTTTCCTGGGTGCCATGTGCGCTCGAGCAGAACGTGCTTTCTTGTGAGTATGAGGATCCTCCTTGTGCGTGTGCGCACTCGCAGTTTCAGCTTGGCAACCAGAACATCCACTTTATCTACAGCCCATGGGCAGACCAGCTTTGTCAGCAGCATCATGGGTCGCTCGCCATAGTGCTGAACACGCAGGAATATGTTGCTCTTCGGTATCGCATCTATGTTAAGGCACGGAGCGGACAGTTTGTGCAGTGGGGCGAGACGCGTGATGTCGTCCACCGTGGCGACTGTAGTGCCTTTGGCCCCGACGTGCATTGGCCGGGTCATCCTCCTGCTTCACTGGGCATCTTCGGGCTGAGCCATGAGGAGCTGCTGCGGTCCGAGTGGGTGCAGGACGACACCCTGACCGTGAAGTTCGAGCTCCAAGTTCGTCCTGACCAATGCGAAACGAGGCAGCGCTGGAGCCTTGCCACAGAGGTTCCTGAGCCTACCATCCTCAAGGACACACGGGCGCTCCTCGAGCAGGGCACAGGCAGCGATGTCAGGTTCATGGTGCAGGACGAGGTGATCCAAGCACACTCCCAGATTCTGTGTGCGCGATCCGAGGTTTTCAGGAAGCAGCTGACGGCAGGCATGCAGGAGAGCCTGTCGAGAGTCATCGTGATCGAGGACTGCGATGTGGGCACCTTCAAGACGTTTCTGCAGTTCCTCTACACCGACCGCTTTCCAGAGGTCAAGGATTTCGTTGCGGCGGCGACCTCAAGCAACGACGAGGCAGAGCACGGCAGCCCCAAGGTGTCGGGGGTTCAAGCCCTTTTGGGTATAAGCCACAAGTACCAGGTCACGCGGCTTCAGCTGTGGTGTGAAGCGATGCTTTCGGATGAAATCAGCATCGAGCAGGTCTGTGGCATTCTCTACCAGGCACATCTCTTGCAGGCGAAGCAGCTGGAGAAGGCATGTCTCTCCTTCATCAAAGACCATGCCAGCCAGGTGCTCACACTACCGGCCTACGGTGATTTGGTCAAGAAGTGGCCCCAGATCAGCCTGAAGGTGCACCTCTACACGGCGGGCGTGTCGGAAGCAGAGGCGCTGGCTGCGATAGATGCCCTGGAAAAGCCGCCAGAGCAGCAATCGGTGCAGGCGACTGAGTGAGAACAGGGGCCCAGAAAATCAGTCAATAGCTTTTGAAGCTCCGAAGTATGAACTCAAGGCGCTTAGGGAATGTACGGTGCCTCACGGCCGGCACGTACAACACTAAGCACGGTCTATACAGCTATGTTTGAATTTGAGAGCGAGCCGGAAGCGCTGCGACGAAAGACAGGAAGCCGAAATGAAAATAAGTGGAGCGACTCGTGAGGCCCCCGTTGTTAGGCCCAGGAGCATGTTCGTGACTGCAGCTTCGAATCTTTAGGGTTTAGGGTTTAGGGTTTTAGGGGTTTAGGGGTTTAGGGTTTAGGGGTTTATAGGGTTTAGGGTTTAGGGGTTTAGGGTTTTCAACCTTCGAAAACCTTGAAGCGATCCCTGTTCCTGCCTCCCTCCCGCCCACAGCGTGCCAGGCGTCGCTCAGTGAAAGAATGCTGTATCTGTAATGTAGGTAGGGGCCTCAGTAATTACCTATATTATTTTAAGGGCCCGAATTGCTCCCAACAGCGGGAGAAGATCGTCGTGCCCCAGCACGCAAAATCGCGTGCGACCGTAGCTCCGAGCCGCCATTGGGTCCCCGAGCTGGCATAGAAGGCTGCGACTACGTCGCGCCTCTGCTCGTCGAGCACTTCAACTCCACTCACGGCTGTCAAGACTGCAGTGTCTCCGACTTCTACGCCATCACGCGACTGGTCCGCTGCTTCGGAAAGCCATTGCCAAGCAGCGACCGGTGATGGGCAGAGGGCGAAAACAATGGGGGTCTCAGCCACAAGACGAAGCCAGGGGATGGAGACTCTGGCAAGGTGCTTGGTCGCCCTCGCTTTCTTCGCGCGAGGCTCCCTGGCAAGCTGGTCCGAAAGCGAAGGCCAAGTCGAAGCCGTTCCCCTCGTACGACCAGAGCTGGGGATCCCGCCAGGACATCACGGTGATCAAGGAGACGCGGCATGCAGCTACGGATGGCGCCCCGACGGACGATGGCCTGTCCAAGCCTGCACAGCAAGCCGTCAACGCTCTTCGCAAGGCCGAGTCGCGGGTGCATCGGATTGTCAAAGAGCAGAAGGAGAAGACGTTGCGTTTCTCAGCCTACGAGAGAGAAGTACAGGCGGCACACGCGTTGGAGGAGAAGAAGTATGTCACTTCGCAAGAGCGCTTGGCTGCAGAGCTCGAGGAAGCTTTGCAACAGCAGGCGGTGGCGAAGGCGGACCTCTCCAATACCATCGCGGCGCTCACCGGGACGGCTATGGAAGTAAGCAAGGAGACTGCCCGTTCTTCCTGGGAGCGCTTGCAAGAGCGCTGCCCGCGCCCTACAGACTCCTTGGAGGACTTGCTGGACCCGGAGCAGCTGGAAGTCCTACGCTGCTACAAACAGGGACTCCTGAACGTCCGCGAGCCGCCTCCAGTGCCAGCTCCCGGCCTGCCGTGCCATTCAGCGGCTCCTTGTGGGTTGGGGCCCTCGGAGCCACCGGAGCGGGAGAGTGGCCCGGCACCGACATATGGGCCAGCTTCACCGGGATCGGGTGCGGCGCTTTCGAGACCGGCCCCTTTCCCAACGGCTTCGCCCCGGTCCTTTCATCCTGTGGCGGAGGCCAAGGCACCTGTGGAGCATGGGACGCATCCTACCTCACCGGAGGGGCCTTTACGAGAGACTCGCCACATTGGCGTCAGGCAACCGATCAAGGAGACTACGAAAGCTCCACCAGAAAGACCGCCTCTGAGCGGTACGGCACTGCACGACAAGCTTGTGGCGAAGCGAGCACAGTTCGGCTTGGCGACACGTCCCTTTGGCTTACCACCTGTTCCAGAAGCGGCGCCGCCAGGGTTGGATCCGCAAGCTGCGAGTGCAGCGGCCATCCTCGACGACGATCACGACAAGGACGATGGTGGGCCGTCACCGGGTTTCGGGACCTTGGAGTAACAGGTACAGCTGAGTGCAGTAGACCAAGCCCTGGTGGATCGTGGTCTTGCTGTCACTCGGGGGAGCGTCTGGTGAGGCTTTGCCGTGTGTCTTCCCCCGGGAACACCGCGTGCTCGTTCCTCGTCGGACTGCGCCTGCCGGGCGACGACATGACAACGATGCAACTTTGGGCATGGCGGTCTCACTTTCACGGTTATCTGTACAGCTGTATCTTGTCCTGTCCTCCAGGCCCTATTTCCCCGTCGATACTCGAGTCAACGGCAGGCTTGATCCTTGGACTTTCAGTGCCAGGTGCATTCGTCTTTCGGTTGACTGATCTGTTGCTTGGGGCTTTTGCGACTTTTCAGTCCCTGACCTTGTCCCATGACGCGTCTTTCTCGCTCTGGGAAGGGCCCTCTCTGCCCTGTCACTTGCTCGGTTGGAATTGCCTTTCTTCGGCTGGCTCGGTTTCTGCCGCCAACTCGTGTCTGTGCCAGAGAGCTGTGCGCCTCGGATGCCTGCCTAGGTGTCTTCGTCGTCCCTTCTTTCCTGGTGGTCGCTGGCCACGCAAAGGGCATGCAGTTTTCGTTCCACGGGGTGGGGGCAACAGGGCGCCAAACATGCGTATCGGTGGCTCTGGGTCGCAGGCCTGTTGTCCTCTTTTTCCCTCTTTGGTTGCCGTGTCAGGGGCCTTCGTGGCTCCCCCTCTCGGCTCTGGCTGTGGAACAGTGTGCTACACAGTTTTGTTTTCTTCCGAGTGTACCTTTGTCGGCCTCGGTTGGAAGCGCCGCTTTCCCCTCCTTGGGCATAGTGGGTGTCTTCCTCCCGTGTGCTTTTCCTCGCGGGCGGAGAACTGCCACTTGTCTTCTGCCAGTTTCTCCTCCCCTCCGCTTCTCCGAGCTTCTCCGTGTGTGCTCGGATGCAACTGTGCGTCTTGCCTTCCTTTTACGTTGCGGCGCACAGCGGTCCTTGCTGGCCAGGTTTGGAGGCGCCGCTTTTCCCTATTTGGGCTTAGTGGGCGTCCTCCTCCTCGGCTTCCATCCTCGCGGGAGGAGAACTGTCACTTGTCTTGTGCCAGTTTCTCCGCCCCTTCGCCGTTCCGAGCTGGTCTTAGCTCGCTTGACTCAAGACCCCTTGTTGATTGTGTTCCTGAGGGGTGCCAGACCGTTCTGAGTGACTGCAGCGAGCCTGGGGCCGGAGCGCAAAAGATGTGCATCGGTTGCTCTGGGGCACACGCCCGGCTACAGGTCCAGCCTGGTCAGGACTCTGGAGTAGCTGCTGCTTCTGTTTGGCTATATCACCAGTCAGCATCAGTTCTTTCGCTTCTTAGCCTCGCCATTCTGTTTGCCCTCTGGGACATCACTCTCAGGTGTTTGCTTCAGCGCAAGAACAGTAAGCGATACATGCTGTTTTCTGCCAGGGCCGGGCGGGCTATCATTTCACCCCTGGGCAGCATGGGGTCGCACAAGCCCGTCCTAAGCTGGCAACCCCTTCCTAGGGTGCGCAGGGCTAGACATTCGTGGGGTCTGCATCGTCTCTGGTCACGCGCTGCTTTCTGGGTTGGGCTGCACAGTCTGCCTGTTTGTGTGTGGGCTGTGCCAGAGGATTTTGCAAGTGAGCTCACAGTCCTGGCGGGAACTTTCCTCACGGATCAACTGGGCGCTGTGGCTGATACTCAGGCCATTGGATCCGTGCCTGACGTGATACCCTCGCTCTCAGCAGGACCCTCAGAAGCTGGAGAACACACTCCCCGCATCTGTGTCGCCGTCATGGCTCCGCATTATCAGACCAGCTTTGTAACTTTGGAGGTGCCGCGGGGTGCAAAGGCCTCAGACCTGCTTATGTCAGTGAGACATACCGCCGCTGCGCTCCCTTTTGAGCTACTTGACTGTATCTCTCCGGTTGACCCTTCCCCACACGACGGTGTGCTCACATATGTTGCGTACACCGGTGCCCTCGAGGAGCATGACCACGCCACAGTTGTTCTCAACCTGCGTCCCGCAGGAGGACATATCTTTGCCACGGTTCCTCCTGCCAAACTCAGTTTCGCAGATTGGGTCTCCTTTATGATCCCCATGATACCGGTTGGGAACTTTAATGTTGATCTTTACATAGGCCGGTCTCGGATGCCGCACCCCATCGGCAAAGACCTGCTGTTGGTTCATGGTGCGCTTTTGACTGTCTGTGACGAGAGGCATCCCTACCGACCAGGACCGACCCAAGGTGCCATTCTACGACAACCTAACCTTTGGGCTTCTCTTGAGTCCACGCGTGCTGGCCCGCCTGAAGGGGTTTGCTTGCTCTATGGCGAGCATCGCTGGTTTCTGCAGACACCATTAAGTTCCCCTGAACACATGCATGCTGCCGCGGCCACGACAGTTGGGTGTCGAGTCGAAAACACGAGCTTTACGCTTGCCACTGGGCCGCTCATTGCAGACTTGTGCTTGCATGGGCGCTGTTGCTATGGCATCGCGATGCTGGTGGACCTGCCTTCTGGGTCTACTGGGACCCTTGACACAAGTGAGCACCCGGCAGTATATGCTTTCCTTGACTTCCGTCCCATAGGGGTTAGGCCCTTCGGTTGGTGCCAGTTTTCAGATAGCCTCCATCTCCCGACTGTCCTCCGTGCACACGATAAGGAGCTTCCCCGAAGTGTTGACATTGAAGTTGTCGGGAGGGAGTCTCGGGGATATTACCTTGATATCACTTCTGGGGATATCATCGTCTTTCGTGCTGTTCCAGACAGCGATTACAGCACGAACAGTCAACAACAGGCAGATGGAGGGGACGAAGGGGATGAGTCCGGAACTGGTCAAGATGAGGACCCCCTTGACGACGCATCGGACCAAGGGAGCGATGTGTCGCTTCGCAGCCGTTCACCGAGAGGCGACCATGGCCTCGAGTCCGCCTCTCACATGCCACTGCAGTCGGTTGAAGTTGCCCCTAGTGGAATGGCCCCTCTACCAGCTTACTTGCACCCGAGGAGAGCTTCTATAAGTGCTGACGAGGCTGAAAATTATGCCCAGCAACTTAGAGGCAGCAGGCCCATCACTGTTTACGGGCACAGCGAGACCATATCTGCAGGATGTATGTCCGCCACAGCCAAGACATTTGC